AAGAGGAAGGGAAGAGGAAGGGAAGAGGAAGGGAAGAGGAAGGGAAGAGGAAGGGAAGAGGAAGGGAAGATGGACACAGGCCGAGGGTGTGTCCTGGAGCTCCAGCTCTGCTCCCAGCACTGCCTGGATGCCACAAGCCATTGCTTCCCCCCTGGCAGCAATTCCAAGGGGAAGGTCTCGGGCACAATAAAACCTCCTGGTGCTTTTTAAGGACCAGCCTGGACAGAAAGTTCTGAAATAGGGAAGAAGAAACAAGGATCTCTTTTTTTCTCCATCTCTGAACTCAGACACTGCTGGATGCTCTCAGGGTGGGGTTCCCCCCCTCAGGGCAGAGGCAGAACAGGCTCAGGTGACCTGCTGGCCGAGCCCTGGGCTGTGTCACCCCCTGATTCCTGTTGGCAGAGCCAGAAATGTTGCAGGCCTGTCACCCTCTGAGCCTGTGGGGTCTGTCCAGCCCTCGTGAGAGGGCACCAGCTTGTCTTTAATGCAGTTATTTTATCATCTGGTGGCAGGGCAGTAATTGTGTTACAGCCCTGCCTGCCATGCCCAGGAGGGAGCATTTCCATCAGCTCAGCTCTGATTTTCCAGGTAACACAGCCCAGAGATCCCACTCTCACCAAACTCAATCTGACTCGAGCTGAGAGGGAGCAAAACCTCTAAAAGCTGCTTCACCCGAATTTACTGATGAGAACCCCCCCAGAACAGGGAGGGTTTGTTCTTGGGGTCCAGCCTGAGCAAAGAAATGGGGTGAAACCTTCGGGTTTTGGGGCCATGAGATGTTCATTCCCATCAGCGTGGCCGAGGTTTCCTCCCTCGTGCAGGGGGAGAAGAGGAAAGGGATGGTTTGGATTTTGGGTCAGGGGGAGAAGAGGAAAGGAATGGTTTGGATTTTGGGGCAGGGGGAGAAGAGGAAAAGGATGGTTTGGATTTTGGGTCAGGGGGAGAAGAGGAAAGGAATGGTTTGGATTTTGGGTCAGGGGGAGAAGAGGAAAGGAATGGTTTGGATTTTGGGTCAGGGGGAGAAGAGGAAAGGGATGGTTTGGATTTTGGGTCAGGGGGAGAAGAGGAAAGGGGTGGTTTGGATTTTGGGTCAGGGGGAGAAGAGGAAAGGGATGGTTTGGATTTTGGGTCAGGGGGAGAAGAGGAAAAGAAAGGATGGTTTGGATTTTGGGTCAGGGGGAGAAGAGGAAAGGGGTGGTTTGGATTTTGGGTCAGGGGGAGAAGAGGAAAAGGATGGTTTGGATTTTGGGTCAGGGGGAGAAGAGGAAAAGGATGGTTTGGATTTTGGGTTCTCACCTGGCAGGACCTCATAGATGTCCTCCCCTTCCAGCTCCAGGTTGGGCTCCTCCTGGGTCAGGGTGGTGTTGTGGGAGGTGTTCATGGAGTCAGAGCTGTCCACGTCGTTGTAGAGCTCTTCCTCCTCCTCCTCCTCCTCCTCCTCCTCCTCCTCCTCGTACGGGATGGTCAGGGAGCTCAGGTCTGGGGTGGGGAGAGCAAAAAAAAACGGGGTGAAAACCAGCAAACCCCCCACTTTCAGCCAGCGGGAAACCCTACACCAACCCCTGTGCCCGCTCAAGGTGTGAACTGCCCCCGGGAGCACCCGAGGGGACAAACAAAAGAGGTGTAAACGAGCCGAGAATTGGCCAAAACAAAGGAAAAGCCCGAGGAAAAAAGCGGGAAACCCAAGAGAACAAAGCCAAATTCCAGGTGTGTGCCTCAAGGGAGCCGCCCCTGCTTTCCAGAGGGTTTTTCCAAAGGCAGGGCTGGAAGTTTTGTCTCGGTGTTGTCGGTGTCAAACCGTTCCCGGGTGGGAAGGATCTTCCCAAAGAAACGGGACACGCTGGATGGGGCCAAACTCACCCTTGAGGAGGAACTGGATCTGGTCCACCCAGTCTTCAGCCTCTGCTGGGCTTGGGGCTGTGAACTGGAGAGAGGGGCAGCTGTTACTGGGCTGGGGTTGGGTTGGAGGGAGAGCAAGAGGATTTGCAGCTGGAACAAGGGTTTCAGCCCTATAAAAGGATTTCAGCCCTATAAAAGGATTTCAGCCCTACAAAGGAGTTCAGTCCCACACAAGGATTCCAGCCCTATAAATTATTTCAGTCCTATGAAAGAATTTCAGTCCCACACAAGGATTTCAGCCCCATAAAAGGATTTCAGCCCTATAAAAGAATTTCAGCTCTATAAATGATTTCAGCCCTGTAAAAGGATTTCAGTCCTACAAAGGATTTCAGTCTCACACAAGGATTTCAGCTCTATAAAAGAATTTCAGTCCCACACAAGGATTTCAGCCCTATAAAAGAATTTCAACCTTATAAAAGGATTTCAGCCCCACACAAGGATTTGATCTCAGCCCACTGAAATCCAGAGCCCAAGTTTCCCTTTCTCTGTTGTCTTCTGCAGAAGATTTGGAAGGTGACAACTGCTCACCCTCTCCCCCCAAAAAAACCCCAACAACTAAACATCAACCCCAGAAACCACCAAACCTCATCCCTTGGCTTCAGCCCCCACCCCCGGCAGGAGTTCCCAGCCCGGGGGGGTTGGGAGGAGTTCTGTGGAAACTGGGAATGGCCATCCCGGCTCTGCCATTGTCCACCCCGGGACAGCGGGAAAAGCCATTCCAGGGCTTTCTCTCCCCGTTCCAAGCAGGGAAGGAGCAGCAGGACAAAGCCAGGCTCACCCCAGAGGAAGCCTGTCAAGCTCAATTGGTTAAAATAATTCCGATGGAAACCACGGTCCCCACGGAACGGGCTCTGCTGCCGCCCCCACCCAGGGCCCTGCATCCCAAACCTCCCCGAGGCCCATCCAGGCTCTCATTCCCACTTTGTGCATTGGATTTTTAGGCTCCCCCCTGGATGCTCAGTAAACTGGAGGTTTATGTTTAACCTGGCTCTGCAGGGCTGGGTTAAAATTGGGCTTTTCCAACTCGATCCTCGACTGGTTCCACTCCCTGTTCTCCCTGATCCTTTGGGAGAGCCCGGGATCCTCCCCTGTGCCCCCTGCTCAGGTGGGGAGAAGCCCCTCCCGAGGTGCTGCTGGTTTGGTTTCCGTGGAATCGCAGAATTATGGAATTATTTTTGAGTTGGAAGTGACCTTTGGAGGCCACCCAACCCACCGACCCCCGAAATGAGGGACACCCCCAGCCAGCCCAGGCTGCTCAGAGCCCCATCCAACCTGACCTCGGGTGTTCCCGGGGATTGGGAATCCACCACCTCTCCGGGAAAACCTGTGCCACCCTCACTCCAAAAACAAATCGGGATTTCCCCAGGAATTTAAACATTCCCAGCCCTCCCGACCCTGCAGGTCCAGCCTGCACCTCAACCCCCACATCCAGGACTGTGGGCTTATATTCCCAGCCCAGAATTCCATGTTTCCCCCCATTTCCTACCTCGTAGGTGCGTTTGCCAGGGCAGGTTAACTCAAAACAGCATTTTTTCCGGGAATCTTTGCGGAGGTGGGAGACCAGCCGGGCACTGTAGTGCTCGATGGAGAAGGTGCCTCTTGGTTGCTTGCCTGGAAGCAGAAAAAGGGGCTAAATTTGGGAGTTTCCACAAGAATTCCATCCCACCGAAACCCACCGAGCCCAGGATTCCTTCGCTCCATCCCCTGGAGGTGGTTTGGGAGATTCCAACTGCTCATCCCCCAAAACCCCCGAGCAAACAACCCCAGAAATCACCAAACCTCACCCCCGGGGTTCAACCCCCACCCC